CTTTTCTGTTACTGTTTTTTTTTGCTAATGAATTTTTGCTAGTCATATACTTGTGGAACATGATATTATACAGTGTAAGAGAGAAGGACTGTTTACAGTCTCCAGAAGGCACTACTGTACATTGAGGAGTCAGGGTCAAAACCCAGAGTGTGAGGAGAAGAGAAGTGAGGCTTTACCTGGGACTCTGCCTGAAGGCTGCGAAATACATTTGGTATGTTTCTTGATAACTCCTCATCACAGGGTATTTTGAACAGCTGGTCTTGGCACTCTTGTCCTCGATCTTTACAGACGAGATCCTTTAACCGGCTGTTCCCGCTGGCTGCACACACGTAGAAGTCGGAGCTGAGCAGGGCCACTGCTATCCAGGTGAGTGGAGCCACCAAGGCTCTGGCTGTCACCAGCACCAACACCTGGCAGAATTGGGCACAGGTTCCCGAGAGGCTGCAGTCACAGCACTTCTTCAGAGGGCAGCTACCTGTCAACAGGCGCCATATCCTGGTGTTCACCATGTAGCCAAGCAGAAAGAGGATGAAGGCAGGCACTATGAGGAAGAAAGAGCCATACAGCATGTTCCCAGAATTGCAGGGACACCTGAACACCACAGAAGAGAAGATCTCCTCACTGGCAGCTGTCAGCAGGGACACAGTGCTGTAACCCAGAACAGTTTTGTGACGGTTGTAAAATTCCAGTACCTTACGTAATCTCTGCATTTTCTGCCTTCTCTTACTTTGAGGAGAGCAAAATCTCCACCAGAAAAGGACGAGAGAGAGTTGAGAGTCCTGGAGGTCTCACAGCTTAGAGAAGCTTGCAGAGCTTCCACTTTCTGTTGGTGGTGGTGATGCAATGAGGCAGAGAAACAACTCTCCTTAGAGAAAGGAAACGAGCATGCGCTCACTGCACAGTATCAGGGTCAAGCAGAAGTCACAGTGCAAACCCACTCCAGTTTCAACAGCAAGACAACAGAGAGCATTATTTCTATAAAAATAATTTGTGTTTGTCCATATATGCATTGTAGCTAGTAATGGCTTCCATCTCATCATCTTTTCAGTGAAGCTTTTCAGTGAGGTACCAGATTCAAAGTGGGAATAAAATGTCAGAAAACCACACAGAACTGTATACAGGTTTTTAT